AGTAAATGAATAGATCAAAAAACTGTGGTACATTTACACAATGGAATACTATGCAGCAGAAAGAAAGAAGGAGCTCCTACTCTTTGCAACAACATGGATGGAACTGGAGAGCATTAGGCTAAGTGAAATAGGCCAGGCGGTGAGAGACAAATACCATATGATCTTATCTTTAACCGGAATGTAATCAACAAAGCAAACAAGCAAGCAAAATAGAACCAGAGACTTTGAAATTAAGAACAATCTGGCAGTAACCAGAGGGCAGGTGTGAGAGGATAAAGGGGGACAATTGTGGAAGGATTTTCAGAAACAATTATAAAGGACACATGGACAAAACAAACAGGGGGTGGAAGCAGGGGAAGGAAGTGGGAATGGCTGCAGTGGTGGGACGGGTTGTGGAGGGTAAATGTACACAACTGCGTTTGAACAACAATAAGATAATTAAAAAAATAATGTTAAGATTTATATATAACAATGTCAAGAAGGTTACAAAATAAAGTGGAACAAGAAAAATTTATCTCTCTTTCTCTCTCTCTCTCCCACTCTTTTGCCCTTCTTCTCTCTCTCTCTCTCTAAACAATCAATTAAAAAAGGGACTTTCACCCAAAATGGAGGTGCAGATACTGTATTTTTCAAACTATAAGATGCACTTACCCCCAAATTTGGGAGGAAAAGGGGGTGCATCTTGTGGTCCAAATGTAGCTTACCTGGCTCGCTGGGTTGAGGGGAGCAGCAGCCTATGTTATTAAATATTTTACCACATTTTTTGCTTCAATTTTTTTTCCTATTTTCCTCCTCTAAAACCTAGGCATGTCTTATAGTCTGATGCATCTTACAGTATGAAAAATTTGGTAGATACACTGTGACTCCTCATACAACCAAAACAAGGACAACAAATTTAAAAAAAAAAACTAGAAATGGCAGAAAATCCAACTATATGGAAGTCCAACAACAAAAACAACAAAGAAGTTAAAGAAGAAACATTCATCCGGACCGGTGGGAGGGGTGGTGACAGGCAGCCTGGGCAGTGAGGACTCATGACAAGGCAGTGGCTGGAGGACCTGGGTGGGTAAGGTTGTGGCTAGCAGACCAGGTGGTCCCACAATTTCGCGCAGATAAACTGGGAGGAACAACTGGAGAGTGAGACAGACTGCACAATCCAGGGTTCCAGCATGGGATAATAATAGCCTCAAAACCTCTGATTGAAAAAACATGTGGGGGTTGCCCCAGTGGAAGAAACTCCCAGCCTCAAAGGAGAGTCCATCAGAGAGACCCACAGGGACCTAAAATGTACACCCAGGAATTAGCACCAGAAGGCCCCAATTTGCTTGTGGGTAGCAGAGAAAGTGACTGAAAGCTGGTGAGAGCCAAGCAAGTGGCATTGTTCCCTCTCAGACCCCTCCTCCACATACAGCACCATGACACAGTGAGGTGGGTTGCCCCGCCCTGTTGAGTACCTAAGACTCCACTCCTTACTACATAACAGGTGTGCCAAGACCCAAAAAAATGGTCCAAATGAAACAACATATCAGAACTCCAGAAAAAAAAACCTAAGCAATGAAGAGATAGCCACCCTATCAGATGCAGAGTTCAAAACACTGGTAATGTAGATTTTCACAGAAATGGTTGAGAATGGTCACAAAATGGAGGAAGAAATGAAAGCTATGCAAAGTGAAATAAAGAAAACTATACAGGGAACTAACAATGAAGAGGAGGAAACCAGGACTCAAATCAACGATTTGGACCAGCGGGAAGAAATAAACATTGAACCAGAATACTATGAAGAAACAAGAATAAAAAAAAAAAAACCAACGAGGGAAGGCTTGGGAACATCTGGGACATCTTTAAACATTCCAACATCCAAATCATAGGGGTTCCAGAAGGAGAAGAGGAAGAGCAAGAAATTGAAAACTTATTTGAAAAAATAATGAAGGAGACACTTCCCAATCTGGCAAAGGAACTAAGTCCAGGAAGCTCAGAGAGTCCCAGAGAGGTTGGAACAAAGGAAGCACACACCAAGGCACATCTTAATTTCATTACCCAAGATTAAAAATAAGGAGAGAATTTTAAAAGCAGCCAGAGAAAATGAGACAGCTACCTACAGAGGAGTTCTCATAAGACTATCAGCTGATTTCCCAAAAGAAACCTTGCAGGCAAGAAGGGGCTGGAAAGAAGTGTCCAAAGTCATGAAAGGCAAAGACCTACACTCAAGATTGCTCTGTCCAGCAAAGCTCTCATTTAGAAGAGAAGGACAGGTAAAGTGCTTCTCAGATAAGGTCAGAAGTTCATCATCACCAAGCCCTTATTATATGAAATGTTAAAGGGACTTATCTAAGAAAAAGAAGATCAAAACTATGAACAGTAAAATGACAACAAACTCACAACTATCAACAAATGAACCTAAAAAAAACCCAAAAACAAACTAAGCAAACAACTAGAACAGCAACAGAATCACAGAAAAATGGAGAGCACATGGAAGCTTATCAGTGGGGAGAAGCATGGGGGAGAATGGGGGAAAAGTACAGGGAGTAAGAAGCATAGATGGTAGGTACAAAATAGATGGGGTCAGGGGCAGAGTGGTTAAGAATAGTATAGAAAATGGAGAAGCCAAAGTATTTATATGTACAGCCATGGGCATGAACTAAGGGGTGGGAGGGAATGCTGGTGTGTGGGGGTGTGCAGGGCAGAGAGAAATAAAGGGGGGGGGGATAAGACAACTGTAATAAGATAATCAATAAAATATGTTTTAAAAGAGACAATATGTTTTAGAGCCTACTCTAATCTAGCATGACCTCATCTTAACTTGGTTACGTCTGCAAAGACTCCACTTCCAAATAAAGGCATATATAGCATCAAAAAAGTAATAAAAACATAGAAAGTGGCACCAATACTATAGAGTGATTGGGAAGATTAGATAAGGTATTAGCCCATTGACTGCCATGTAGCAGGCAATATATTTTAGTTATATCATAAGTATTATCATAGAAAGAAGAAGTCTAGAGGTCTAGAGTAGGTGGAGAAGTCTTCATAGGGAAATCTGGAGTCACCTGGCCTTGCAGGAGACAGCAGCTGACAGGGGTGCAATGAATCATAAAAAGAAATAGCATGTTCTCAAAAACCATAAAGAATTTTGGAATTAGAGTGTATTTCTTGAGTGAAAAGAAAATGAAATCAGTTATCAGGTCATATTTCACAGAACTGCAGGGCCCGACACAAATAACACCCCTTTTTTATTACAAAATCTTTCATTGAAAAGTCATAAGAATTCAATTCTGTACATAACAGCATAACACTCAAGCACACCATATGACATTTTAGGTGAAATGTTCCAATTAAAACTATAACTTATTACACCCATATTATTACCCTACAAACCACAGTCAAGCAGGTGCTACTTATGCCAGATCCTGTATTTGACATTCCTGTCTAATTCTACCTTTGCCCATATTCATATCCACATTTATTGAGTTCCCAATGAGATTGCAAGTTCCTTAAATGTAAAAGTTTCTTGGCCTTATCAGCATCTTTACATTTTATAAAACCCTTTCAGCTAATATATGGCAAAAGCATTGAAGGACTAAATAGAGCTGGGATAGTGTTGCTTCCTAAGCCTGGCCAGGAGCTTCCCAAGTGAAACCTGAAACCAGCCCCCACAGAGGAAGTGTAGGGAGAGGCCAAAGAAAAGGGCTGACCACCCCAGATTAGTAAGTGGCAGTTTTAATAAGCAAAGGAATTTAGTTATGATACTTGTATTGGATGGCCACAAGATGAGTAGTTCTCCACACCCACTCTTTAGAATCTTAAAAGTTTTTATAGGGATGCCTTAACTGGATTGTCACGTATACTGTCCAGAGAGTCTCCACATCACATTGCTCTCTTCAGGCTGTATCCTTGGAATAGTTTGTGGGAGTGGGGAACACAAGTGTGTACACATTTCAAGAACAAGGTAGGGGCTGAGGAGCTTTCAATTGCCAGAGTCCAGCTTAGTGTCAGCTGGTGGTCACATCTTCTTGGTGACCTCCCCCAACAGATACTTGTTAGAGGACAGTTATAGGAGAGGAAGTAGATGGTATTGGAGATTTGGGAACAGGGTGATAACAGACCAGGTGAAGAGCAATGTGTATTCAAGGTTATTGTCCAGGTAGAATTGTCAAATTTTGATAATGGATTTAACATGAGAAATGAAGAAGGGAGAATAATCAAAGATGATTTGGCTTTCAGGTGACATTTAATAGGATTAGAATAACTGACAAAAGATTTATGGACATAAGGATTTTGGACATATTAATATTGAAATACTGTGAGATATTCAAGAGGAAATTTCAAGGAGGTAATTAGATGTTTGGGTTAAGAATTCAAAAGCTGTAGGCTTGAGATAAACATTTGGGGATTATTTACATGGATAGTTAGATGACTTCAGAAGCTGTGTGGATGGATGTGCTCTTCCAGGGAGAGAACATGAAATGAGAGGAGAAGCAGGGTCTTCTTCAGTCAGTTGGTGTTGGGTCTCTTTCTCCATCCTGCTAGGAAACTAAATGTGCATCACCATAGGTCCAGCCATTTCAGGATATTTGTTCAACTCCAGATTTGGTAATTACGTCTTCACAGTTCAATTGTGAGCTACTTGCAAATAGGCAAGTTGTCTTATCCTTTCTTTATACCCTCTTCTATTATGACAGTGCCTAGCAAGTACTAGTCAGGCCTTCAGCACATACTCAGTTGAGTTTAATACTCAGGGTTAATGAAGTCACGTATTATAATGAATAGCTTGGGTAGACTGCTCAATTCACAGGCACTTCTTGCCTTGATTAATCACCTCCTAGAGATTATTGATTGGGGAGCAGGTGAGCAGGCATGAAGAGAGGAACGAGACCCTAGGCATGAATGAAAGTACCTTGCCCCCTTACTGGACAGTGAATACTAAGAGTGCCTACTCTTTGTGGTCATCAACTATATCATCATTCGATGTTAGACACTGATCCAAGACCATGAATGGTACTCACTCCAGGCTGTCATTTCTGAAAGGGTAGGTGTAGTTTCCACTGCCTGTGTCACAGAAGGGTCCACGAAGCAACCCCAGTGAAGAAATGACCACACAGTACACAGCTCCTAGAGTGCCCTGTATGGTCAGAAGTACAGGGAACAGCATCTGCAATGGAACAGAGTCAAAAAATTCAGTGCAGCAATGGGGAGGAAGGTGGTGGAAAGTCAGCTTTTCAAAGAGATATCCCCTGAATTTCCTGGCAAATTGAAGAGAATCTAAATCTTTTCTTGTAGATGCCAGACCAAGTAGATGTCCTTGTTTTGCTTGTCAAATGTACAAAAAATGGGTGCTGGAGCTGAGATACCTGTGTCCATTCATCTACCCCAGTTACAATTCTCAGGAATGAAGTAATCCACTACTAAACTGTGAGTGGAAAATGTGATATATTCACACTGACCTCTCACCCCTGTGCCTACACACTGCCTGGTGCATAAAGTCTGTGTGTTGTCAATCCCCTCATCTACACTCTTAGTACACATCAGTAATTGACCTCAGCATTTATTTTCTCCAGTCCTAGATGAGACCTCACAGTCCTTTCCAAACATAATGACTGATCAATTGATGATGGCACTCTCAATGACGCTTATTTGCCATTCTGGTGTTTGGTGGTCAGTAAATACTGGTTGTATGGTTAGGTGAGCAAATGAATTATTGTTTTTTAATGCCTGAGTCGGTGACCAACTGAAGGTTCTACTGTATACAAACTATAAATTTGTTGACTGGGTGGTGGGTGGGTGAGTGTCACAGAGAGGTAAGTGTCAAGGGATGGCGACCTGGCATATTAGTGTAGTACTGAATTGGGGCAAAGCTGAAGGACGTTTTTGCTTCAAAACATAAGCTTTTATTCCTGGCATGTCCACATTGTGTCTTTCCTGCCACAGGGAGTGAGGCGGGGGCACCGACGGAGCTGATGGAATGACTCAGGGGGCTCCTTGGAGATGGTCCTCAGGCAACATGGGTCTAAGTTCTCTGTGGAGGGTCTGATTGGAAGCTGCAAGGGTTGGGACTTGGACCTTTTCAAGCATAAAAGAGAAATGAGATGGTGTGTGAACTAGAAATGTAAAAGCAATGGATTGCTTGTGCCTGGGGACAAGAGCAGGAGCAAGAAATAAATACATAATGAATGAACTTACTAGGGTGGCAGCTTTTTGTTCTTCACAGGATGTTTTAAGAGAATCCCTGTGAAAATATTTTTGACAGTACAATCTTCAGTGTCCCTTCTTGCTTGAATTTCAGTCCTATGATGTGTTACCCCATTATCTACCAGGAAAATAAGAAAACTGAAAGGTTGTGAGGGTCCTAGACGTCCCCACTGACAGACAGGTAAAAACACAAACAACCAAACCCAGCAGGCTGGTCTATAAGAGCTCACCACCTTTGTGTCTACTGCAAATTACTCTCCCCAGATCTTCTCCAGGATTGTTTCTTTTAGGGCCTCTATTGGCTAGAACCCTGTATAAGATCACTGTGCATGGATATTGGGATATCCATGCACTAAAGGGAGATTTGGTGCAGTCTGTTCTTCAAAGGAGCCAAAGCACATGGCCTGGGAAAGAAGCCCTTTGGGGGTGAGGGTGGGTAGGAGGTTAAGTATTCTGCAGAGTCCACAGAACTTACCCGACATTTGTGAGTACAGCAGCCCTTCCCACCTCCTCTCAACAGCATTAGTGCTGGCACCATAACCTGTGGCAAAACAAACAAACAAAAAAGAAAAACAACCTCTTGTATTGAAGGGAATGATATCTTTTTGGCAACAGGGTTTGACTGTGTGTCCAGCTATTTGATTCCTCATAGCCTGTAGAGTACAACACAGGCCTTGGGCTTTGTGTACATGAGCACTTCATGGTGCCACCTCCCTTCCACCACTCAGAACTCCTGACACACCAACTTATGGCCTTCCAGGATGGACCCAGGCCTCCCATGCCTCTGGACCTTGAATATGCCTTACACCCTTTGCCCTCATATAAACTCTACCCTCAGAGGACCGGTTTCAATGTTATCTCCTGTAGTAGGCCCATCAAATGCCCCCTCCCAAACCAAGATACACATTCATTCCAATTTCTGGGACCTGTGAATATTACTTTATATGACTAATGATGTAGTTAAATTAGGATCTTTTTTAAAATCCTCACTGAGGACATGTCTATTAATTTTATAGAGAAAGAGAGAAAGAGAGAAACATTGATGTGAGAGAGAAACAACGATCAGTTGCCCCCAAACCTGCATGCACCCCAGCAGGGTTTCAAACTGCAGTGCAGGTATGTGCTCCAACCCAGGACTGAACCCACAATGCTTTGGTGCATGGGATGACACTCCGACCAATTAAACCAGCCAACCAAGGCTAAATTAAGATCTTAATAGGAGTTTATTCTGGGTGGTCCCTAAATCAATAACACAGTTTTGAGATAAAAACACACAGGGGAGAAGGCAGAGTCAGAGCATGTGAAAATGGAGGCAGAGATTGGCCTGATGCAGCCACAGTTCAGGGAATGCCAGCAGCCACTGGCCACTGGAAAAGGCAGGGAACAGATTTTCGCCTAGAGCTCGGGGCTCTGCCAGCACATGGAGTTAGAACTCTGGCCTTAAGAACTATGAGAGAATGAATTTCTGATGTTTTAAGCCACGAAGTTTGTGGTAATTTATTACAGTAACCATCAGACACTACATCTTTTCTCTGTAGTTTTCAGTGACCTCCACCAGCTAAAATGAATGGTTCCTTCCTTCCCGCTAATCTGTACTGGTGCACTGAGCACACTGCTTTCTCCTTGTCCTCAATGGGCTCTGAGCTATGGGTCTCAGAAACTCTTAACCCAGTGCCCAGCACAGAATCAGACCCATGACATGATGGTGAAATATGCAGTGTGGGGTAGGAGAAAGGGTACTGGCATGACAAGACCATGTGCCAGAACAGGAAATAAATACACAATAGATGTACTTAACTTTATGAAAAAAAATTACCTCATCCTGAGAAAGGATTGGTAATGTGTTTCCCGATGCCAGCATCTGAGAGATTGCCAGTCCTCAGTCCCCATCAAGGTGACTAAGACATATGTTGAGGAAAATTTGATAGGTATGTGGTTAATGTTAAAGAAGATAGTCTGAGGCCAGGTGTGAGGGGATGAGGATGCAGACCCACATGACTTTAGAGGCTCTGCAGGTAATTTTAGGTAAATATATATCCTGGTATAATATATTAAGGAGTGATGCAGACTGTGGTGAAATGGAGGGCACACACCCCTCCCCAGAGTTTCCAAGTCACTGTGAAGCAGAACTTTCCCATCTGTGGTCCACAGGCTTCATGCAGCCCAGGATGGTTATGAATGTGGCCCAACACAAAATTGTAAATTTATTTAAAACATAAACAGATTTTTATTGTGTGATTATGTGTCACAATGTATTTAATGTGTGGCCCAAGACAACTTTTCTTCTTCCAGTGTGGCCCAGAGATATGAAAAGTATACCAGGGTATGCTTTTGGACACCCCTGTAAGCATAATGCACAGACACCACACCAAACTTCCAGCTGTTGTGCAATTTTTGTGAAGCCTTGATAAGATCTGGGCTATACATGGCATCTAGTAAAAGGAGAACCACAGGTTTAAGATTTGGCACTATATGTCCACTCTGCTGGAGAGGAGTGTGCTGAGTTTGCCTGGTTATCAGCTCTCTCTTTATAGTGGAAGTGGGTGTATCTGACTCTGTAACACAAGGTACAAAAATGATTTGATCCCCCCCTTACTCCAAATCTCTTATGGCTACCATTGAATGAACACTAGTCACAAGGCAGACTTGGGACTGGGTGCTCTCTACGCAAGCTCATAAAATGCTCACCATAACCATAGGTGATAGCTATTATTGATATACTCATTTTACAGAAACTTTAGAATGATACAGTGTTGTGTCTAAGATCTCCCAGCTCAAATACACCATCTTCTCTCCAACCCCAAGGCCACTGCTTTAGTTTGCCCTAGAGCCAGGCTCATGGGAACACAAAGTAGACACTAGAGACTGAAAGAAGAAAGAAAGAAAGAAAGAAAGAAAGAAAGAAAGAAAGAAAGAAAGAAAGAAAGAAAGAAAGAAAGAAAGAAAGAAGAAAGAGAAAGAGAGAGAGAGAGAGAGAGAGAGAGAGAGAGAGAGAGAGAGAAAGAGAGAAAGAGAGAGAGAGAGAGAGAGAGAGAGAGAGAGAAAGAAGGAAGGAAGGAAGGAAGGAAGGAAGGAAGGAAGGAAGGAAGGAAGGAAGGAAGGAAGGAAGAAAGAAAGAAAGAGAGAGAGAGAGAGAGAGAAAGAGAGAAAGAGAGAAAGAAGGAAGGAAGGAAGGAAGGAAGGAAGGAAGGAAGGAAGGAAGGAAGGAAGGAAGGAAGGAAGGAAGGAAGGAAGGAAGGAAGGAAGGAAGGAAGTGGGGAGGGAAAGACTGGCTCTCCTTTTTTACTTTATGCAGCTTCAAGGACTGGTTCTGTCCTGTTTATGTTATTCCCACTTCACTGGGAATATACAAGTGTAACCATTCTTTTTTCCAGAAGATTCTGGAAAGTTTTGTTGGAAAGCTGGAGCAAGGTTTGGACAAGCCAGCTGGTGTAAGGGGTGCTGTGGAGACAGGGTGTCAGGTCCCTGGCTGAGCCAGGCTCCCCTCTGTTTTCCTCCTGGTCAGAGAATGTTTTCCCTCTGAGGCACTTTGTTTCAATAAATGCTCTGAGGTTTTGCTATTAGCAAATCCAGATCTCAAGTTACTCGATTCTTTTCAATAGTAACTACCTTTGCTCACTTATATTTTAAGAGAAGTTGGGTTCTGATGTTCCTATATATACTAGAGTTGATCAGAGTGAGTTTAGGGATTTTCTTGGTGGTGGAGCTGAGAAATGTGAACCTGTCCTGCAGACATAGGCAGTGAAGGTAAGAGGCAGTTGACAGGTACTGGGCTGGATCCACAGAGAAAGTGGAGGAGCTGGTGATCTGAACCAGGAAAGAGGACCAATTGCATTTTACTCGTTGTCAGTGATGCGTGGGCACTCTGTGTATATGATCTCATTTAGTGTCTTCACCATCTTGTGAGATGGTGTGATTTTCCTTACCCTGCAGCTCAGGGAGGTCGTATACCAGAGTCAAGGCAGACTCAAAATCTGAATGGGGTCTGATAGACTCCTTGATCTGTGCTGCCCTGTAGGAAGTGCTCTGAGCTGAGAAACAGACAACCTTGGCCCAGGTATTGCTGCTTTAGGTGTTCTCTCAGTCAGGAAGGCCCACCCACTGCCATGGATGGGAAGGGTGGGTGGTAAGTGGAGGCACCTTGAGACATCACTGTGTCTAATACTGTGTGGGGACAAGAAGCAGGAAGGGAAGTGGCCACCTTTTTCTGAGACTTCTTTATGCCCCATGCATTCATCCATTTATTAAGCACCTATTCACATAATCAAAATGATCTTTTCAAAGGGGACTACTGAGAAAGGAGGAGCCAAATGAAAACAAAGGAAGAAAGGAAGGAAAATACTCAATACCTACCTTAGAGGGTAACAAACTAAAACATGTGGGCTGAATTCAGCAAATTGCCAGTTTTATAAATAAAGTTTTGCTAGAATACAGCCATACCCACTTGCTTTCATATTGTCTGTGGCTGTTTTTGCGTCAGGACTACAGAGTTGGGTAGTTAAAACAAGAGACTACATTGCTTAAAAATAATCTACCACGTGGCCTTTTACAGAAAAAGTTTACTAACCCCATAATATTGCCTAGGGAAGCCTTGATGGACTTTATAACATAATTTATTTTTCAAATGGTCATCTTTAAACCTGATGACCTTGGCAAATACTCAGTTATTGTGAATTTTATAAAATGTATCTTTCATTCAGTTAACAGCCACATATTAAGGTCCAGTGTCAGCTGGCACTTGGCTGGGTAGGAACTTAGAGGACAAAGGCTAATGAGACTTGGACTCTGTACTGGAGGAGCACGTAGCCTAATGGGGGAAGGAAGGAAACAGAAAGATGCCTTCAGTATGGTGTATCAGTACCATGTGGAAACTGTTTATGTGTTCTGTGTTGTGGGTACAGAGGAGGAGCAGCCAGCCATGCTCCTGCAGCCCAGGGAAGGTGGCATCAAGATGAGATGATTGTTCAATGACTTGCAGGGTGTTTAGGGACCACCCTTCATCTCAAGGAGGTGAGCTAGCTAAACCTCACTCTTACCAAGAGTCCAGCTCCAAGAAAGCCATGGAAAAACCAGACCAAGTCTGTGATCTTGCCAGGCTCCAGCACCTGCCCATTGGGAAAGTACAGCAGGAGGTTGGCAATGATGGCTGTGATGGCCAAGGGCAAGAGCATCATGCCCGTGTACCTGGAGCCTGTCTCAGAGCACATGGTGAATCCTCCCTGGAAAAGAGAGAGAAGACAACCAGAAGCTGCCACTCAGGCCACTGCAGAATCGGGAGAGGGGCTCTGCGAGACACCCCAAGAACAAGGTGTCATGCCCACCTTAGCCACTGGGAGGTGGTGTGACCTGGGAAGCCACATCATCTCTCTGAGTCTCAGTTTCCTCTATAAATCAGAGAAAATACCCACCTCCTAGTTGGTGGTGTATGGACAAAAGGAAGTAAAATCAATGTGAAAGTAGTTGGCTTGTAGTAGATGTTCCATAGACTTTCTTTAAAGCACTGAGGGACTGAGGTAATGTTTAGAAAACCGCTGGTTCTTAAATTTCTGGTTCTTTCATCTACTCCCAGAAGTATTCCCAAAGTGATTATGAACTAGGTCCTGGCTCTAAACCCTGGCTTCACCACTTAGCGGTTGTGTGAACTTGGGCAAGTTAGTTAACCTCTCTCACCTCAATGTCCTCATCTGTAAAATGGAATTAGCAATAGCATTTCCCTTGTGAGATCAGTGAGAGGATGAAAATAACCTAATGTATTCAAAATGCTCTCATACAAGGTTGATTGGAATCATCCGGGCCTCTCATTTTATTTATATGAAAACTTTTCTCACTTTCTTTGTCCATTAAGTTTACTGAACCTGGAGGTTTCGGAGAAGCCAGGAAGGAGGAACATGGAGAGAGGAAAAGGTTTTGCATCTTATTTTCCCCTGTACTCACTGCTCCCAAGCCTACATGAGATTAAAGCCAGTAAAACATTTGCTAGGTGAAGGCTGCCAGAGAAGCCTGTGGAACATGACTCTGTGACCTGGGGAAGTGTTCCAGTTTCGTGCTAGGTGGAGCTCTCCTAACACCTCTTTGTACCATTCTCTGCTCAGATTTATGCCCAGATTATTGACTGGTTCTTGAATAGAAGCTCATTCACTACCCCAGTCACCAGACATGGAGGCCTGGTACCCTTATTGGCCCTTCCCACAGTGGGAAACCTGTAGTAATTTGCATGGCCAGGGACTGCTCTTTGGGGGCAATACTGAGAAATGTCTGGACTTAGCTTTCTGCTCCTACAGATGCTTCAGATAGTCATTAATGAACAAAAGCAGGATGGCAATGCTTAGGGTCTTATTTCTATTTGCTGTCTAAATTCAGGGCTGCAAAAAGCTACCATATTTTTCAGACTATAAGATGCACTTTTTCCACCCTCCCCCTGCCCCACCAAATTTGGGAGAAATAATGCTTGTTAATGCTGCTGTTGAGTTCTGTTTATATTTACATTGGTGAAATATTATGGTATTTATGTTAATAAATATTTTACCACATTTTTTGCTTCAAATTTTTTTCCCTATTTTCCTCCTCTAAAACTTAGGTGCATCTTATGGTCTGAAAAATACGGTAATGCCCGAATGGGCTGCTGCCTCGGGCTCCTTTGTTTGCATGAGGGAGATTGGAACTGTTGACCTCACTCCCCATTATGATCACTAACAGCTGCGGTAATGAAAATTTAACTCTCAGAGGGAAAGAACGCTGGACAAAGTGCAACAACACATACAACTACTTGCTCCTTGCCTGAGGGACATTATAAACATTTTATCTGACCCTCAGATTATCCCCATGAGGTACTAGCTCCACAGCTCCATGAGGAAAGAGTATTATAGAAGTCAAATAAAATTCCAGGTCCCCTCAGGAGTAAATAGCAGACCTTATACTCCAATGTCTGTCTGCTCAAATGTACTTCCAGTTATTCCCAGTTAGGGCAGATGAGTGGGAACTGGGAACACTGAGAAGCTAGAGCTGTCGAAACTTTTTACATGCTATAAAAGGGTACACAGCCAACAGCCCCTATTTCTATTTAATATCTGTTGTCACAGCTCTTGCTGTGAAGAATACAGTTGTGCTCACCCTCCAAGAAAATCACATATATTCTTAAGAGGAGGGGAGGGTGGGTGGAGACTGGGGACACATTTGGAAAGGGGACTGTTCAGCACCTAAGATTGGTACTTAATTAAACTATAGGAAGCTGATCATCCTCTTGGGTCTTGGCAAAGAATATTAGAGCTGCTAAAACCCTTTAAAAATCCAACCTAGTCATTTCCTAGGAAGCATAGTCCCAAGGAGTTAAAATTTTTTTTATTCAAGGATGTACAGCTAGGGAGATGGAAATAACAAAAAATAGTCACAGTTATGTTCGCAGGCATGATTTCATTTGATTCTTCAATAGCCCCATTCCAGAGACATAATTATTATACCCATTTAACGCATTTGCTGCTGAACACATTCTGCAGCTCGGAGAAGTGAAGGAACTTGTGAGACCACACAACTTGCAATGAGGCAGATCGTTTTCTGAGTCTATCCAGTTCTCATGGCTTTGGCCTCAACAGGTGGAACAATCACAAACCCTTGGGTTTCTTAATCAGAGACTTCGTTTCAAACCATCAACCTCATGGCCCCCAAAGAGTCATATTCATACTTGTTGGAAAATTGTACCCTAAGTTTGGGTTTAGACAGCCTGGTTGCCACACTGAGGCTTTTAGGCCAAGCTGTGGCACTTGCTTTCAACACCAGTCCGGCCCATCCTGAAGCAGAAACACACAGACACACCCGTCAACCCAGTACCTGGTCAGTGGCGGGGCTGGGGCACAGGCACACCGCGGAGCCTCTTCTGGGCAAGCCACCCTGGCCCCACCAGGCCAGCAGTGGGGAAAAGCCCCTGCAGGCCGTGTTGCAGTTCCGGAGAATCTTCTGTCTCAGCTGCTGAAAGTTTCTGGGCAGGCTCTGGATCCTTCCACCTTTCAGGAGACACAAAGGAAACACTTCATAGATGTCAGACAGCAATCTATGAAACCCCAGGCACCCACCTTACAGGACACTTTAAGTATCTAACCACAGCCGTGTACTCTTTCCCAAAGCCCCCTTGATGTGAAAGTCCTTTGCCACTTTGGAGGTTGAGGCCCAAAACCTTTCTAGGCCCCTTTGAGGTCACTCAGCGCTATAGCATGCTAGATTCTGAGGCACAGGGGCTCCCCTCTTCCTGTCTGGCCCCACCTCTCTCCTGCTGCCCCCAGGCTGGGAAAAGTGGCTCAAATTCCCCCAGTGAGAGCTGGCACTGCCTCCCTGCCAGGCAGCCCCAGGGGAGGAGCCCAGCCACCCAGACGCAAAGGTGTTCATTTACTGTGCTCTGCTCCCCACTCTGGGTCACTCCCGATAACCTCTGAAGAGTTTTCCTGGCAGATGTGTTTCCACTCAGCTGAGACGGAGGAGGGTGTAGGGATGTGATTGCTCTGGGTGTGGCAGGCAGGGCGGGCACGCCAGCCCTGCATAAACACATGTGGGAAAGACCCAGGTCATTGACTGGGGGTTGGAGCATCACTGTGTCATCCTGCTGTAACCCTGCTCAAGGACACGGGCTGTTGACCAATCACACCCCACATTTATTGGCAGTGGGGTGTCCTGGCAGGGTTTGGTTTTCTGGCCGGACTTGGTGTCTCAGCTAGCCAAGGATGGAAAATGGCCAGTCAGTGAGGTCCTCTCTCGCTTCTCACCCATTCCTCTGGCCCCCATGGCTACGATATTAACACAGCAAGAGATGGATGAAGTGTAGCCACTTGGGGCACGATGCCAGGAATCTGGTTACCTGATCACCCAGTGAGATGAGCCCCAAATGGCCCTGCTCTGCATCTATCTCGACTTTCGCAGTCAGTGACCAATAGTGGCTACCGGAGAAAGGCCTCTTTGTCTTTGGCCTGGCTGTCACCCCTTCCTGCCCATGAGAACACATTTCCCTTTAGTAAGGCACCAAGTTTTATTTTTCCTCCACTGTGACCACCAGTGTGTTACTAAACCTCTGAGAAAGTGGAATCAAGTGATTCTATGATCAGATACCTGGCTCCCAAGCTCTAACCGTACTGTAATTTATAACCTGTTGTAGGTTTTAGTAAAATGCTTTCCAATGCCATGCCTAGACTGTCCTTTCAGCAACCCTGAGGGGCTATCAGGACAGATGTTTTTGTCTTCATTATTCAGATGGGAAAACAGGATCAAAGAAGATCTGAGCTGCAAGATCAGTGGAATGAAAAAAAAGTTCAAGGTTCTCATTTTTTAGCTTTTCCTATGGCACTGAGCTGACTTTCTGATCTTAGGCCATCTAACCAGTCTATTCTGGGCCCTCAGGCCTCCCCCACACTGCCTGCCATCTGCAGAAAGTCCCTGGACATGCACCCATAATAATTCCTCATGTGCGATTCTCCATCCTTTTTTTTTTCTTGTCTGCTGGCTGTATGCAGAGATCCTAGGGGATGGATGCTCATGCCACAAGATCTTGTCAGCTCTATCCTCCATCCCTACCTTTTCAACAGAAAACTGTAATTCCTGAGCCTTCCAGGTTGAAGGGCTGAACATCACTGTATCCACATCAGTATCCTCTGCAGATGTTTAGAGGTCAGCTTTCTCTCTGCTAAGTCAGATATACCACACTTGTTGGTATATTGACATTTCCTATTCTGTGACCTCATCTCCTATTCTTTTGCTCTTTTCAATTATTTTATGTGTCTTTGGAGGACATTTCCAGGAGGGGGCAGAGACAAACATAGGCGCAACCCTTCCTGACTAAACAGCAGTCTTGTTTGACCACCTTCAGAATTGACACTGAAGATGCAAATTTTAAAATAACTTCAGAAATAATCATTTTGCATTAATTAGTTGTTTGGGATTCTAAAGCATAAACTACATTTGTGTAATTCATTTATCTTTAATAAACTTGATAATTAAAATGGAAATTGACACTATATATAATTTTTTTTAAATAAAAAGAGATAATGGGAGCTTCCTGTTCAGTTTTGCATCAGGAGCTTGTTTACCGCCAGCACTGACATGGCCTCATGCCTGAGGCAGGCTGAGGGAGGCTGGCAGGGTCCCTTGGCAGGGTCCAGAGAACTGAACCAATGGGCAGCTCCCCTACGTGGATGTCAGGTTCTCTCACACCTCTGAGGTCCCATGACTCTGTCTAATGTCTAATGTCCATTTGTAATTTCATTACTTTTCTGGTTCAAGCAAGAAAGTCTCATCCCCTCAACCTCACTACTGAACTTACTGAATAGCTTTTATGTATGTTTTAGAAATGGATTTTAGCCCCTTTTCTAATGATCTGTTGAGAGAAATTTGAAATGAACTTTACCTTTTGGGGGCTTTACTTCTCATGAATATCAGAAGGCAACACAAGGTCCGATAGTCTACATTCTATTCATCAATTTTAAATGTCCCTCCAAGGGAGACATCAGGCCAGATTTCTGGGTGAATTTGAGGAATTCCTTTGCAACCAAATATAACCATTAGAGGGAGTCTGGACCTTGTGAGAACACAAAACCCTGGAGAGGTAAGAACTACATGCAAAGAGCAGCAGAGCATAGATTCTTTTATTCAGTTTTTACTAATTTTATTAATCAAGAAAATATTCCACTTACACAATGGAATTCTATGCAGCAGAAAGAAAGAAGAAGCTCCTACCCTTTGCAACAGCGTGGATGGATCTGGAGAGAATTATGCTGAGTGAAATAAGCCAGGCAGTGGGAGACAAATACCATATGATCTCGCCTTTAACAGGAACCTAAATAACAAAACAAACAAGCAAGCAAAATATAACCAAACATATTGAGTAGGCTGACAGGGACCAGAGGGGAGGGAATTTCAGGGGAAAAGGGGAAGAAGGGTTTACAGGAAAAAGTATAAAGGACACAGGGACAACAACTAAAGGGGGTGGAAGTGGGAAGGAGGTGGGGAGCACTGGGCAGGGGGTGGGGGTGGGCTGGGATGGGAGTAAAAGACAGAAAACTGTACTTGAGCAATGATTAAAATAAATAAATTATATTAAAAAAGAAAATATGCTTGGGAAACAACATGCATATTTCCTGAGGGTTCATGGATGAATCCATTAACTTTACAGGGGTTCTTGTGAAACAAATAGTTAAATTTACTACCATTAATAATAACTATAAGTTAAGTATTTGTGCTGACTCTGATAACATTAGTTACAACTAATAAAATATTTACTACTAATAATTGTTAGTAGTAATAATATCAGTCATCTGTTTCTAGGAGAACAGAGACACATGCTGTATGTAACAGGCTGTCTGGGGACACCAGGAGAACTATGATGTGCTTTGTTTTTAATTGTCACCCAAGGATATGTTCATTGATTTCAGAGAGAGAAACATCAATGTAAGAGAGAATTGCCTCCCATATGCATGCCCAGACCCGGGATTGAACCCATAACCTAGGTATGTGCCCTGACTGGGAATCGAACCCCCTACCTTTTGGTGTACAGGATGTCATCCCACCCAACTGAGCCATTGGATCAGGGAAGATGTGCTTTTTGGCAGAGACAAGAGGTAAACCTGGGGAGGTAAGCAGCCACCGCTGGATCTGGGGGTCTAAAGAAGGGTGTTGGCTGGGCTCTAGCACTCAGCGAGGGCTCTGTGTGGCCTGGGGACCTGCTTCTTTTGGCTTAGTCATCACTGTCTTGTGTGATGATCAGGGAGTGTTCCCAGGTTTAGGCCTTTACACTGAATGAACAAGGAATGGACAGACAGGGCTGCAGGGGGAACGCACTGAAGAGCTGGGAAGACGACAGCAGCTAGGACTGGCCTAGCATACAGAAACCACTGAGTTATGCTGTGTAGTCTGCCACCTACCGTTCTTATTCCAGAAAAGAGAGCCTAGGGACCCATTTCCTTTGGCATGTGGAGAAGGTGGGTTGTAGCTGATGATGTGCGGTAATCCAAGCGATTTCCCTCAGCCTGGCCTAGAGTCCTAGTCATAGAAAAGTCAGGGAGTATTCTTCCTTGGTTATCAAACTGGCAAACTTAGTGGCTGTCCCCACCCTCCAACTCCTGGCTTCCTTCAGGGGCCCGAAGTGGGGCTGAGAAGGCAGTACACTCTGTCCTTGGTGAAACCCAGTGCTGCATGGACTTTTGCTCCCCCTGAGTCACCTACGGTGATCTGACAGCTCCACTGACTGGCTTGGCTGGAATTCCATCTGGTCCCCATGTGTCCATTTACACCTAGATCCTTGACAAGACAGCAGTGTCCTTTGTTACTTCAAGATGCAACTTTGTGGTGACATAACAGTTCTTGGGCAATTAACTCATGCAAATATGAAAATGTTCTTAATAAGGAACGCTTTTTTTAAAAAGTCAAATTCTTACTGAAAAATTAAAATTGGCAGGAAATTTGTAGATATTTTTTGCAATAGACATGATCTCGATGCCATTAAAATCAGGTTAGGTAAGAGAGATTTGGAAGTGGAGTGGGCATACTTCTCTTAAATTTAATTAGGCAAAAATAGTATTCGTTGAAGGGAAAAATCCTGGCTTAGGAGAAGAAAGATGGAGGACCTCAGAAAGGCATTGTCAGATCTGAGCTCAAGCCCTTCATTCTTCTTGAAGCCCCTTTCTCCCACTGCCGTGCTCCATCTGGAAGGTCCCCTCCCTCTGCCCAGAACCTCTCTCTCCACTTTGCTGGTACAACGTCCATTCTTTATTTAGGTCTCAGTTTATAGATTTTACTTCCTCTGGGAGACTTTCCTGACCCTTCTCACCCCATATTCCCTGCCAACTATTTTCTCCCCAAATAATCTAGTCTGTAAGCCCATGAAGGCGGGGATGGAGTATTACATATTAAGCTTCTAACACAGTGCCTGGTCTCTGGTGGTGCTCACTAAAGATCCACAGGTTGAAAAAAAATGGCTGCTCAGTCCCTCACTCACCTTCCTTTTCCCTACAGT